TGTTCATAAAAGCTTTAATCTTCCAGCTTTGGGGATTCAAGATACCAAATTTTTAGCAGTTAATGCTTTTAAGGGGAAAATAAAAGGCTACCATACAAAACAATGGCCTAAGTTTGATTGAATGACAAAAAATAAAAGAGGACGTCAAACTGAGCAATCAAAAATGTAGGATCAAAAGAACACCTTCAATGTAGTCATGACTGAATTTAGTAGAGATGATTCTCCAACACCCCGACATAGAATTATTGTCAGAAGTGCTAATAGAATTGGAGCTAATATGTTGAAAGATATAGCTCCAAAAATTTCTTCACTCCCGTGACCAATCCATCTTGGTATGTTGTCCTTGAAGAAGGGAATGAGCTCTATTATATTGACTACATAGCTTGCCAAACTACGTGCTATGCTAGCAGTACCGATGTGAGAGTCAAGCATCAGTTGTGCAAACACAAGAAAAGCAGTAAGCTCATTGAAGGCTGTATATGTATATAAGTATGTTCCCCCAACAACAGCAGGAAAACGAGAAGCTAGTTCAGCATAACAGAGTGCACTGAGCACACAAGACGCTCCTGCAAGTATGAAGCTAATTGTGACGCCTGCATTGAAACAATAAAAAAGCTATCAGTAACACGACACCCAATGAGCCAAGTTTGCAAAAACCAAACATATTATGTTCCAAGTTTTGAAGGGTGGCCCTTGAACAATTCTTACAAAGCAACTTAAGTAGCTTTTGGCAGCATAGTTTTTATGCCGTGGAAGTGGACTGAAGACAATCTAGTTCAAAATTTGTATCAGACTAGTTCTAATTCAAATTCCAATCGATTAATTGCGTTCCCCTATATGAACCAATACAGAAATTTTAACTTTGGAGCAGTGGCAACAATAAAGCAGCAAAATTGGAAACCCTGATTCCCATCTTAGCCAAAAATAAAGGAATAACCATAATCGACCACTAAACTTCCACCTTAAAGTATCGTATTCACAAACCACTTGATAAAAAAATCAGGCCTTTAAACGATGCAAAACATGAATCAAATTCCTCAGTGCGTATAAAATTCAAGCTTAATCAAATGCTGACTTATACATAAGTAAACATATGTATGAATCTGGTTGAATTGGAGCATTCAAATTGTGGAACTGACCAGGACCGGCATCGCGAGCAACAGCACCGGTGACGACAAAGATTCCGGCACCGACAGAAGCGCCAATGCCAATAAGAATGAGATCGAAGAGGCCGAGACGGCGAACGAGGCCTTCGCCGTCATTAGTACGGTCGGAGGTTTCCGAATAAGTAGTTAGGGTCTTCGCTCTGAGTGCTGAGGACCAGAAGTGAGAGAAGAACGAGGAAGATGCACGATTCTTCTCAGCTCTCATCTCTCTCTCTCACGGAAGAACGACGAGAGTGGACGAATTAGAAATAAAAACGAATGATTGGCGTTGAGGTATTTTTTTTTTTTTTTTTTTTTTTTAACATGAAAACTACAACCACTCACACTTAAAGAAGCGCGAGGGCGATAGCATCCATAAAAACACACACACCAAGGCTATTCATGTGAAATTGCCGTTGAGGTTGACAGCTGACTGAATATATGTAGGGCTAATTACACTTAGCTACGTGAATTTTTTCAAAATTAGCAATAACTCCCTTGAAGAACTATGTAATAAAAATTAAATATTAATTTTGTAATATTTATATTTTAAATAAAAAATTTGTTTTTAGTTATGCAATTAAAATTAAAATAAAAAGAGAGAAAATCGAGGTAAATATGAATTGATAAAATTGTTTGGTATCGAAGAATATGTTAATTTGTAATATTCATCAAAGGAAATGAAGATTGAATCAATCTTAATTCTTATTGTATTTTTATAAATTGAGAATTTAAATTCTTAGCTTTAATATTATATAGGCTAGCAATAATTCGTACTTGAAGACACTTTGTAATACAAAAAATTAAATATTAATTATGTAATATTTATATTTTAAATAATATTTTTTTATTTTTTTGGGAGATAAAGAGAGATAAAAGATAGAAAGGTAAGTGTGGATTAATAAAATTATCTAAGATTGGGTCGCTTAGAGAAAATGATACTTTTAAGGAAAAAAATATATTGTAGAAAGAATTTTATACTACTAGCATTATATCGCGTGCGCCGGACATGAAAGTTTTTATTAAAATATATAAAAATTTAATTATATAGTTAAATTAGGTATTATCTTATATTTATCATACGTAAATTGTGTTGTATTGTGGATGAAGGAAAAAGATACATATATCGATTTTTTGGCACCGGAGATAATATTGTATCAATAAAATTGTCGATGTGTAATATTAGAGTTTTGAAAAAATAATAATAATATCTATCTATACTACTTATAAATGTCAGCATCTGCGAAAAATTTTTGATTTTCTATTTTACCCCTAATTATTACACTAAAGACAATTATGCCCACAAAATATTAGCTAAATAAATTTTATCTCTATAACTTCCAAATTTTTTGCTGCTATATAAATTTTATCACTATATATTAGTTAGATAAAATTTATTTCTTTTACTTTCAAAATTTATCTCAACTAAATTCTAATATGATGTGAAAAAAAAAAATTGTTATTTTTAACTAGATAGACTTTAACTTTATGACTTTCAAATTTTTTGCTGCTATATTAATTTTATCACTGTATATTAGTTAGATAAAATTTATCTCTATGATTTTCAAAATTTATCTCAACTAGAATTAAAATATGATGTGAAAAAAAAATTGATAATTTTAAGGATATAAACACAACCATCGAAAATTCATTATTCATTGTTATATATTAAAATACTAGAAGAGTAAAGAGCTAAACCCATATATTTTTTTTTTCTTTCATACCTATTAGACTTTCAAAATATTTTAAACAACTTTATTAGAAATATGTATAGGTAGATATAGGAAACTTTTGATTTCTTATTTTACCCATAATTTTTACACTAAAGACAATTATGCTTACAAAATATTAGCTAGATAAACTTTATCTCTATAACTTCCAAATTTTTTGCTGTTATATAAATTTTATCACTATATATTAATTAGATAAAATTTATCTTTATGACTTTTAAAATTTATCTCAACTAGAATTCTAATATGATGTGAAAAAAATTACTTTTTTTAAGGATATAAACACAACCATCAAAAATTCATTATTCATTATTATATAATAAAAGATTAGAAGAGTAAAGAGCTAAACTCATATATTTTTCTTTCTTTCATACCTATTAGACTTCCAAAATATTTTGAACAACTTTATTAGAAATATATATATATATATATATGTAGATATAAGAAGATAGACATATATCTCTCCAGTAACTTCATTAACATATTTATCTCTACAGGGTCGACAGTGCTTGGTGTTATAAACCTTTGAGCTTTTTTTTTTCTTTGTTAGAACATAGCTATTGCTGGTATGGTATTATCTTTACTTTGCTTTCCATCTATTTGGGTATGACTATTGTATAAATGTTCTATTTACCTTACAACAGTTTTTATAATTGGAACTAAAATTAATTTGTGTTCAATTGAATTGTTGTTTCTATCAAAGTGATAATGAACACCCAAAAAAAGATACTTTCATGGAATGAAGAGCTTAATTTGTTAAACTAATCTTCTAATGTTTAATTGTTTATTATTAGTAAGTTTGTAGTGTTTTAGGAGTTATTATGTTATGAGTAGAATTAGTTTTGTTATTAGACTTATTGAATTCATGTGGTAGTGGAATAGTTTTAGATTAGTAAATTATATTTTAGGTGTTTTCTTAGTCTTATATTGTAATGCTAGAAATTTTTATTGGATTCAAGAAGTCATTTAATTCATATATCAGTAGTTTTTTGCTTCGTCAACTTCATACACCTCATATTTCTAAAAAATATAATCTAAATTTTTTCACGTGCAACACACGTGTGCATTACTAGTATAATAAAATAGTTAGATTGTTTATCTTTAGTTTTTCGTTCTTCAAATCATTTTAATCTGATGGTCTTAATTAAATTTTATTTCTTTTACAATTCTAAGACTCTCATATCTTATATAACTCTTTATATCTATCTTAGACTCTTTTTCTCTCTCACATACTATTATATATTTTTTTTGTTTCCCCTATGTTGTTTTTGTTATTATTTATTCCATAAAATAGATAAAATTGCATGTTATGTAATTGTTTATTTTATGAAACTAATTCAAAATTTTTATAGGCATGTATTTTGTCGCTTTCTTCTTAATTTGTAAATAACACTTAATATAAATAAAAAAATAGTACATTGACTATAAACATGAAATGAGCCTTACATTGTAAATTAATATATAATTTTATCAAAAATTGACATTTAATTTTTTCTAATTTATATTCAACTTTGTCAAATTAATATCAAATTAATTTTTATTGTTATCAAATTAATGTGAAATTCATTTAATCAATTTTTTGAAGTACTAAATTATATCAATTTTTTTATATTAAATCAAATTTTAAATTTTGTTTGGTATTATATTTAGAGAAGGGTAACTGTAAAAATAATAAAATTTTTTGGAATAAAATTATCAATTTTTGTTAGTAACATTGATGAAAGGAGATAGAAGAGGCTCTTTGTGTAATGAATTTCAAATTTTAGGGGGTCTTCATGTTATTTATAAAATATTAGGAGATATTCATGTAATATTGTCAAAACTCATGGTATATCCATAATTTTTACCCTAATTTTTAATTAAATGTTAATTTATTATTATTTTATCTTAAAAACTTGAATTATTGTATTTATAATAAAAGCAGCTATTGGTTATGACAATTTGTTAGTAACTAAAAAAGAAAATGTGTGTGTGTTTCCATATATATTTATAAGTGGAGGATTGGACATTTAGTGATTAAATTTATAATTATATTGTGTTATTTGGAGTTGAATGGTGATAATGATGATAAGTTTTTGAGTTTTATAAATGAGCAAGATTTGACTAATTTTATTTATCACTTAAAGATTGTAAATTTAATTGTGTTTTGTTAGTAATTTTTTTTTCACTCGAGGTATTTATTACATAGGCACAGGGCAGATTAGAAATATGGTGATTGAGTTTACAATTATGTTGTATTAAAAAAAAACAAAGTTTACAATTGTGTTGTGTTAATGGATTGAGTGGCAATAGAGGTGAAAAATTTGTAAGTCTTATAAATGAACAAGATTTTGTTTATTTTATTTATTGCTTAAATATTATAAATTTCAGTAAGTTATATTAGTATTTGTTTTTTAGAGGCATTTGTATATATAGTGTTGTTTTGGGAGAGTTTTTATATATTTTTATGACAATTTCATTAATACGAAGGATATTATCAACGATATGTTTCGAGTCTATTTAAAAGAAGAATTGATATGAATATTTTTAAGAGGAATGCTATTGGAACTTAATTTACTGACCTAATTTGTTGGGCCAATTTACTATGACCTTTGAATTGACTATGAGCCCCATTAAACATTAGGATTTAGTATTGATCCAATGAAGCCACATCATTAGGTCAGCAAATTAGCATTACTCTATTTTTAAACCATTTATTTTGAATTTGAGCAATTGCTTAAGATTTTTTTTATTTGTTATATAGTGTCTTTAGGTACGAGCAATGACTAGTTTTTATATATCCTGTTAAGAATAACATGATGGACTAAAAGTTTTACAAAGATCGACATTTACATGATATATTAGAGGTTAGTTTGTTAATTAAGTATAGAATGATATAATGGTAATCTGTATATTTAAATATAAAATGACTTGTTAGTCTTTATAATTTTTTATAATGGCAAAATAGTAAATCAAATTTTTTTTATGTAAAGTACTTTTATTAGTAGTATATATATATATATAGATTGAAATCACTCTCTGCTAGTAGAGGTCTCTCCCCCTCCTCAATGGTGATTCCCTCGTGAAGGTATTCATCATTTTTTCTTCTTCTGTTTACTATCCTAATCACCCGGCATCTCTACTCATTGCCTTCCACCCAACATTCTTTGCTACCCACTTTTCTTTTTATGACTTTTCCAAGCAAACCTCAGAATCTCAAAATTAAATAGATGCACCTTGGTTAAATCCCCAATCTCAAAGGAGACTCAAAAAAAGAAAACCCCTCGTAAACCTCAAAAATAGGTTTTTTTTTCCTCAATATCCTCTATCTCTTTGCACTCCCACAACCCAAAAACCTTATGGGAATCCATTTGACCCAATCCCTCTAAACCTTAATATCTCCCTCACATCCAAGCACCAAACAACCTCAGAGACAACCCAAAAAAGAAAACCCCTCGTAAACCCCAAGCAACCCCCACCTTTCTCTTTCCCCAATATCCTCTCCATATTCGTATTCTTATAACCCAAACACAGTGAAGTTTATGTTCATAAGCAATGTCAAGCTCAAACCCCAGCCTAAAAACCCAACCCCTCACCATAAAACTACAATCTGACCAACCAATAGCCCAATTTGTAAAACAATCCTGCCTCATTGGGAGAGTCCATTCCGATAAAGCAATAAATCAAAATGCAGTGAAGCTTATAATCGCTAGGGCATGGAAGGCGACAGACAAGGTGGAAATTAAAGATGGAGAACATGACACATTCATTTTTATATTTGCTATAGAAGAGTTGAAGCAATGGGTGCTTAGTCAAAGTCCGTGGTCGGTAAAGGGACGCATATTAGTGCTCAAACAATGGGAGAAGAACATTGTGATCTCTGAGTTGGACTTTAGGCATTCACCATTTTGGGTTCAAACCATGGTCTCCCACCAGATATGATAATCGAGGAAAATTCTCTAACGATCGCTCAAACATTGGGCCGCCCAGCAGAGCACCAAATCAAGCTTAAGCAAAAATCAATTTGGAAGAGCTACCTAAAAACCAAAGTTGAGTTTGACTTGAGACTACCATTGCCAACATTCTTCTGGCTCCCAAGAAACGAGTTACCAGATCAGAGATTGATCTGAAATATGAGCATTTGAGTGATTTTTGTTATAATTGTGAGTGTCTCGGGCATGCAAAAGTGGAATGCATGAAACCCCCATCTCAAACGCTTCCATCTCAATATGGACCACATCTCTGAGCCATGGTCGGACAGACGTTAGAGAACCCTTCACCGGTTGAAAGCCCGTATGAAGAAGAGATATAGACGACACGTAAGCCATGTACGCCATGTGACATATTGACGACAGTGAGTACTGGGAATCAGGGACCAATGCCCAAACTGTTATTGTAAGGGAATAGTGAAAATTGCAATATCGTAGAACAACGTGGCATACTGGAAGAGGCTAGCTGCATAGTGGAACAACACCAAGTACAATCCAAAACCCTGTCCTCGTTGACATGTGGGGACCATAATGTAAAGAATATGGATCCATCCGAGAATGGGGGAGAAACCTATAACCCAAGACCAATACAAAACCTAAACAAACCCAAGACCAATACAACAAATTAAAGCTCATCTTACACCCAAGCCTTATACACGGAAACCCTAACAACCAACCAAACCCATAACACTACTCAACAAAAAATCTCATACACATACCAGCCCAATTACATAAACCAACCCCCAACGAGCCTAACCCTAATGAAAACCCACAACAATCTAACCCCAGCGAACTATAACTCTAACCTAAACAATCACTAACCCTTGGACCAAAGAAACCCCCAAATCAGGGAAGCAAGTAACAGATCCCCATTCTTAAAAGCTGTTGAAACCGTATTCAGAATGGAGATTGAAGCAATACTAAACAATTGTATGACCTATGTTTTTCAAAGCCTCCCCCTTAAATGCCAAAGACCAATAACAACCTCAAAAGGCAAGGTGAGCAAGGTTAGAAGAAAGGATAATGAATTTCTTGAGATTTTACCGATCAAGGATAACTCACAATCTGAGAAGGAGTTAGAGTATTACAATGTTACAGAACCCGAAGAAACAAGCAGTAAGTGATCTTCAACCAATTATGCGCTTCAATATAATTCTCAGGAATAAGTGATGACTTACATAATTTCTTATATTTTATCACTTCTTAACTTTAAACTTTAGAGTAATTTTATTTATTTTTTTTGATTTTAGGCTTCATTGTTTTTATTTAAATTTATTTTCAGATTTGAAGGAAAAAAAAAAAAAGAGATCCAAATTTTACAAGTGCATCATCTAGTGACTCATTCTCATTTAAATGAAGAGTTTGGCACTGATGAGAATGCAAAATGATGCAAATGAAGACGTTAAATGCAAAATGAAGCTAATTGGACGATTTTTGATAGTTTTGACATCACTTCGTTATTTGTGCATAACTCTTTCATCCGATCTTCGATTGAGATAATTCAAGATACTATGGGACGCTAAGAAAATGCTCTACAACTTTTATGTTTTGAGTTTTAAGAGATATTAGCTGAATCAAGGTCAAAATTGGGCTTAAATTTGTAACAGGTGCACTATTCATGTTTTGGAACTTGCTGCACGAAATTTCAGTGGACACTTTCCTAGTTATATTAGGACTTCATTTTATTTTGAATTTTATCCTTAAAGAGTCAGACTTGAGGAGGTTTGTGAGGGAGAGGAGAGAGGAACGGGTAAAATGGGAATTTTTTTCTTTTGGGGTTGAACAACAGCAACTTGGAGAAGGAGGCGGCGACTTGCGAGGGCTGGGAGGACAAGAGTATTTTTTAGTGTTCATTTTTTTCCATTATTCTAGAAAAATTATGGTGAATTCATTTATGTTAAATTTAATTTTTAGCATGAACTAAATTTTCTTTATTCTAGGAAAACGATGTAATCTAATTCCTAACTATGCTTGTTGTTCTTTGCTAATTTGAAGTAATTCTCTTCATGTTTGTTTGATTTATTCTAAGCTTATCGCTTCTAATTAACTAGCCATTAATTGGATGATTTTGATCTTGTGATTTGCTATCGAAAGAGGGAATTGTAGGATAGATCTTGGATATTTTGGCATAGGTAAATATAGAGATCGAAAGACTTGTATGAACCTATGTAGTATTAAAATCATTGGTCTTAATACTTTCTTGTTTTATTAATTTGCATTCTCTTGTGTAAAATGATGAACAAGAATATTTCCAATTGACTATTGAAAGAGGATTTTGTATGAATTGGAGATTTGCTAACAAACAGAGAGAATTAATTTCAATTAGTTAGGTGTGTAAAGCATAGTGGGTGATTAGGCATAATGGAGATTTCCAATTGACTATCCAGGTGTGGTTTTTATGTTGGATGCGTCGTGCTAGAACTCGTGACATTACTCCTTTTGATTCGAAGATTGAAAGAACTCTTAGATCACTAAGAAAATAAAAGTACTAGTCATGGCTGATGGACAACATGATGCACAGCCACGCACCTTGAAGGATTATGTACAGCCAGTTGTGAATGGCAACTACTCAGGTATAAGACGCCAGACCATTAACGCCAACAATTTTGAGCTTAAACCAGCCTTGATCATCATGGTGCATCAAGCCCAATTTAGCGGATCGCCACTTGATGATCCCAATATTCATTTGGCGATGTTCTTGGAGATTTGCAATACTATAAAGATTCATGGTGATACTAAAGACACCATTAGACTGAGTTTTGTTTTCTTTTTCTTTGAGGGACAAGGCAAGAGGTTGGCTACAATCTCTACAATCGGGAAGCATCACTAGTTGGCAGAATATGGTTGAAAAGTTTCTTGCTAAATTCTTTCCACCTGCAAAAACAGCCCAACTCAGGAGTGAGATTAGTCAATTCAAGCAAAATGATTTCGAGTCACTCTATGAAGCATGAGAAAGGTATAAAGATTTGATTCGACGTTGCCCTCAACATGGATTGCCGGATTGGTTGCAAGTCCAGATGTTCTATAATGGGTTAAATGGGCAAACTCGGACCATAGTTGATGCTGCCAATGGTGGAACTTTGATGACAAAGACAGTTGAGGGTGCTACTTCTCTTTTGGAAGAAATAACCTCAAACAACTATCAATGACCATCTAACAGAACTATGGCTAAGAAAGTTGGGATTCATTAATTAGAGTCAATTGCTGTCCTTTTAGCTCAAGTTACTTCTCTATCCCATCATATTTCAGCTTTGGCAACCCAAAGGATACCACAAAGTGCAGAATATGTTGCAGCTACAAGTATGACAATTCTGATCAATGAAGCGAGTCAAGAAAAAGTTCAATACATCAACAATTGGAATTACAATTATCGTGGTAATCCTATACCAAATTACTACCATCCAGGGCTTCGAAACATGAGAAATTTTCTTATGGAAATACAAAGAATGTGTTGCAACCTCAACCTCCTCAAGGATTTGATAGTCAACCAAGTGAGAAGAAAATGTCACTTGAGGATGCCATGATTTCCTTTGTTTAGGAAACAAATCCAAGGTTTAAAAAGACTGATTCACTGTTGGACAACATTGAGACTCATTATAGCAATATGGGAGCCATTATGAAGAATCTTGAAGTGCAAATTGAGCAACTAGCCACGACCATCAATGTCCAATAAATTGAAACTTTTCCTAGCAACATAGAAGTGAATTCAAAGGAACAATGCAAGGCCATCACACTTAGGAGTGGAAGAGAAATTGAGAGCTCACCATCAAAAGAAACCAATTCCACCCCTACAGCTGCAAACAATGGCCAAAGCAAGAATAAAGTAGAAGAAAATGATGGTACACCAAGAGAGACTGACATGCCTCCAACAATTTCATTTCCTGACAATCCTCCTACTCTTTCTGCTCCATTTTCTTATCCTCAACGTTTTCAAAGACAAAAATTAGATAAGCAATTTTCAAAGTTTTTGGATATTTTTAAGAAAATTCACATAAATATTCCTTTTGTAGATTCCTTGGAACAAATGCCAAACTATGTCAAATTCCTGAAGGACATCATTTCTAAGAAGAGAAGGTTGGAGGAGTTCAAAACAATGAAGCTTTCTGAAGAATGCAATGCCATTCTTCAAAAGAAATTACCTCAAAAATTAAAAGATTTGGGGAGTCTCACTTTACCATGCACTATTGGGAATTCATTTTTTGATAAGGTTTTATGTGATCTTAGTGCTAGCATTAATCTTATGCCACTTTCTGTTTGCAGGAAATTGGGACTTAGAGAGCTGAAACAAACAAATATTTCTTTGTAACTAGCAGATCGATCCATCAAGTATCCACATGGAATCATAGAAGACGTATTGGTAAAGGTGGATAAATTTATTTTTCCTTCTAATTTTGTGGTGTTAGATATGGAGGAAGACCAAGAAGTCCCACTAATTCTTGGCCAACCGTTCTTGTCCACTGGAAGGGCTTTAATTGATGTTCAAAAAGGTGAGTTAACATTGAGAGTAAACAAGGAATAGGTTATGTTCAACATCTACCAAGCAATGAGATTTTTAGAAGATTCAAGCACTTTCTTTTGGATAGATGTCGTTAAGCAATGCGTAGAAGAAGCCTTTCAAGAAGATGTACCAGTCGATCACCTAGAACGATGTATCACCACTTCATCTCATGCTTATGATTTTAAGAACTCTGTTGTGTGTGAATCTGATTTACCTTTTGTTAGTGAAGAATTTCTCCACTATGTATTTGCCTTGGGAGCCTTGCAACAGGTTACATCACTTAGCAATGAAGTGGGGAGACTAGAGCTGATGGTAGAAAGGATGGATTCTGTAATTTCTAAAGAAAAGATGCAGCAAACTACAACTCCAGAGTTGAATTAATTGCCTGAGCATCTTCGTTATGCATTTTTGGGTGATAGTTACACTTTTCCAGTGATTATAGTTACATCACTCATACCTGAATAAGAGGAAAAATTGTTGTGTGTTAAGGGAACATAGAATAGCTTTGGGATGGACTTTTTCTGACGTAAAAGGTATAAGTCCTTCCATTTGCATGCACAAGATTTTAATGGAGGAATCTTACAGACCGTCAATCGAGTACCAAAGAAGATTAAATCCAGCAATGAAGGAAGTAGTGAGAGCTGAAATTTGAAGCTTCTCAATGCAAGAATTATTTATGTTATTCCAGACAGCTCATGGGTAAGTCCAATAGAGGTTGTACCAAAAAAGGGTGGTATGACGGTGGTAAAAAATGACAACAATTAGTTTATTCCTATAAGAACAGTCTCAAGTTGACGTGTATGCATGGATTACCGCAAGTTGAACAAAGCAACAAGGAAGGATCATTTTTCACTTCTTTTCATTGATCAAAGGTTGGATCGATTGGTTGGATATTCTTTC